TTTCTAGCAAAATTTATTTTATAGATAAAAATATCACCTAGAATTTTAATTAATGAGTTTTTAGCAAATTTCTTTTATAGATAAAAATATCACCTAGAATTTTATTAGTTTCTAGCAAAATTTCTTTTATAAACAAAAGTATCACTTAGAATTTCAATTAATCAATTTCCAGCAAAATTTCTTACTCGAGATAAATTTCATTTATCTTGCAATTAAGGTATTAGTGATTTTAATATGACATTGAAAATAATCACGGACAAGTAATCACGCATTTCCGCGGCATCTCCTCGATTGCAAACGCAAGCAGCGACGAACGACATTCACGTGCCCCGCGTGACCTGTCGATGACAGATAAAAGCGATAACTTCTCACTTCCACGAATGGCAATCGAACATGAAAATACTTCGCCGTCGAATTACAAATATTCTATCGCCAGTTACTCTGTAAATATATTTTACAATTCATTGAGGGGTAGATTTTTAAACTACAGGCTGGATTTTTAAAACTTACATCAAGACGGAGAATAAACTCTGTTGGTAATAAGATAAGATTGCGCTTCTCGATGATAGTTTCACGCGCGAGATCAACGTGCGTTTCTCTTCTCTCAACGGTATAAAGCTGGTGAAAAAATATTCCTGTTTACTGGAACTGTTTCAGATCTCGGCATGCGCTGTCGGAATCTCGGGGAATGTTACACGGATTCCAAAGGCGGGGTGGTCTGCATGAACGATCGGTGCGCATGCGATCGGGATTACATTCAACGAAATCACACAGTGTGTGAACTTTACAACGGTAAGTAACCTTGACTCGTGGCCGATTAGAACGCCTTCCCACCATGAATTTGATTCGCAACGATCGAGGAAAAACAGGATGGTGGAGGAGGGAGGGGTCGAGGCTTTAACCGGTAGTTTTTTTGGCTCGCACGTGACACTCCCCTATGCGGTAAAATAATAATATGCTCGCAATTACCTTTCTCGAGACTGCTGCTCGCATGCCTCCAGTCCAAGTTGCGTTGCAATTTCTCCGATTGCACACCGCGATAAAACGTGTCTGCAGGGTCACTATCTGAAATATTTTCGCAGAAGAAAACAGAGAGAAAAAAAAAACAAGAAATAACGATATTTCTTATCGTAGTAGAGCATTAGTAATGTCGTTAGCTTCTACGTTGGTAATTTTTTTATCGTGGTACAGTAGTGGCTTCTTAAGTGTCCACAGTAGGGGACTTACGAGGTGTAATGTGTTGGTACCGAAAGGAAGCATCAACTGTTGTACCGATAGGCACGTGTAGCTAAATTCAGTATTGTTTGATTGTAAAGAAATCTAACATTTTTAACATTTTTAACATTTTTAAACTGAATACAGAGAAAATATTTTAAATTTAATATATGCTTTTAAACTTAGACAAAACAATAAATCAAGTGATGAAGCAATGATTGTCAAATGATTGTAATTGATCTAAATTTCTCGAAAATTTATTGAAATTCCGCTGTAAGAGTAGTTGTCACTAAATAATTATCGTCAAACTGGAAACTTCGAATAAAGGGCTTCTTACGTTTTCATCGGTATTAATTAAATGAACAATACACGTAGTATGATTCTATGATTGTATAATACATATAAATTATACGTATACAGTTATTAAATTATAAATTAAATTATATGTATATGATTTATATGTATTTATATGTAATACATATAAATTGGATATGTGTTTGTTATTTAATGTGATATTTGCCTAAGATTGGTCCCAAACAGTCATAATGTGCCGAAATATCGTGTTCACGTTTTAAATCGTTATATTCCTTCGTGCCATCGTGCTCAGTTCAATAAATAATTCTCGAAACAAGATTTGGCAACACTGTCCATATTTTTTAATTTTAATTCTCGTCACTGGTAGTGCTGCGGTGCAAAACCTGCCTGAATCGGTATGACAGGATGTGACACGAAAATGGTAATAAGGTCCCGAGAAAACCTTGAAATCGTGGCCGAAAAAATACATTGTATGCGAGGTCTATTCATATACATCGTCTGTGGTGGGGATAGTTCCAAGAATTGGTAGCACAAGTGGGAACTACTGTATTATTAAACTTTGTTCAATAAAAACATTAACCTTTAAAAATTATCAAAACTAATTTATCGGTGGTTTATATTAATTTTTTTCTAAAGCATGCTGCTGAATTCTTTAACCGCGTTGTCTCTGTTGTATTTGAAAGCATGGCGTCAAAAAAGAAGTTGAAACTTGGTCGCGACACTTTTTATTTAATATATCTCTCTCGAGTATTTTATCGTGTCGAATGAAATGAGCAAAATATTAATTTATATTTACGTATACTTGTTTATAAATTTATTTATAATATATTAATGTATATTATAATCTTTTTCCAGGTGGTAACATTGCAGCCAGTATGGTAGGATTGGTAGCATTATTGTTGCTGTTAACAAACCTGTTAGTTTAGTTGAACGTTAACACGTTATTATAATTACAAACATTGTGTAAAAAGTACAAAAAATAACTGTGTAAAGTAATTCGTACAAAATAATTTTAAATTGTAAAATAACCTTTGCAAGACAGTATAGTAATATTGTGAAGTATTACGAGTGTTAGAAATTTTTAAATCCAACGCAGCACTGTTCGTCGTATTGTCTTTTTTAAATAAATAATTCTAAAAATAACGTGGTAAAGCACAATTATGCTATTTTTCTTTGATAATAAAATTGTTTAGAAAAGCACCGCTATATTTATTTATTTGAATGTGGCATTTATTTATCTGTTATCTGGCGATAACGATAAGTTTCATAGACCGAGTAGCCCGATAGAATTAGTAATATTATCACAAAGTTGTAAAACAATCAACGTTCTTATCAATACCTTAATACCAAAATTCCTGATAAATCAGTTATCGGAAATATAACGAGAAACGTTCGTAGATATCGCATCGTGCTCAATAATTAATCGACCGTTTCGAAATACAAATATCACTTTCAATAATCTTAAATTTCTCAATAATTTATATTCCTTAAATTTTAAAAACGTTCGCGTTCCCCAGAGAGTTCGACTCGAAGCGTTCCGAGCCATGTATCTTGATGAAACTATAGAGCTCTGCTCAGTGAAATAGCTTCACAGAATAAAATATAAGATTGGATATTTCGAAATGACTTTGATCAATCACCAAGTCTATTACTAGCGTAACAGATGTAATCTGTTTGCCTGCTCTTAGGATCGATAAATAAAAATGTGTAATTATAATGCACCAGTGTGTGTCTGTTATTATGAGTTGGCGCACCATCACCTTCAACGTGTGATATTTAACAAGTTATTGACGATGATACGCCATCGATGCAACTAGTGGTATATATGAATCGATCGTTGGAACACCAGCGTGTTGTTTTGTTCTTATATCCTGATTGACGTGCGAGCTTTTATCAAACACGTTTCTATCAAACGAAAAATAATAATCTTTATTGAAGGTGAGAACATTTTTGTAAACGTTCGTCACTCGATGGATAAGGCATTACACTACTGATAAAATATCCTTTGCAATATCAAGTTAGAATTTTGTCACAATTCAGCGTAAAATATACATAATTTATAATTCGTTACGAGAGTATTGTGTCACTCTGATATATTAGGGGTCGTTTCCTTCAAATTTGAAAAACCATTGCCATCCAGTGACAACAATTTAACTCATATTTTAGTTATGCATTAACGTAATATATTTATATATTTATATATTTGATATATTGGCACATTTACTGCGTTTATTGCAATTAAATTTTATATTAAATCTTAAAACGAAGTAAGATTATTTGTCAAGTTAAATTAAATTAATTCTGAAATAAAATTATTAATTTCAACTAATATTATTGTAGCGATCTCCTAAGCCTTCCTTTCATCCGACAATTGTCTCAGGTGAAACTGATACGGATAGAACTATTTTTAACTATCGAACCGTCAGTTCAGCAGAGAATTTGGCATTTCAAGCAGTCGATAACTGATCGTCAGGTGGATTGAACGGTGCACACGCGATTATAGAATTAGCCACCAATCTGGAGGCTATTTTCACTGGGCAGAGGCAACGCTCTCGGTCTCGGGAGAGCCCTCGGATGACGTCTTCTTTTGCTCGAATGCGTGATGACGGTGACGTCACGGAAAAGAGGGGTCAAGGCATATTTCTTAAATATAGATCCATCCAGCGACTGACCTCCCATGTGCCTTCTGCACTTCGAAACCTAAATTACATTTCACGTGCGTGTACTCTTGTTATCATTCTGAACAATTACGCATACGTACTACGTACGCGTACGTACTACGTTATTTGCGATAATAAATATAATGTAATTAAACAATTATACACAATATTCAATTCTTCTCAACGTGCAAATCTATTAAATATTATAGAAAAAAAATAAAATATTGTGATATTGAGGTATTAATATATTATAATACATAAATATTATAGAAAAAAAATATAATATTGTGATATTGAGGTATTAATATATTACAATACATAAATATTGTAGAAAAAAAATAAAATATTGTGATATTGAGCTATTAATACGCTACAATACATAAATATTATAGAAAAAGAATAAAATATTGTGATATTGAGCTATTAATACGCTACAATACATAAATATTATAGAAAAAAAATAAAATATTGTGATATTGAGGTATTAATATATTACAATACATAAATATTATAGAA